TTATTTTAAAATTTTGAGACAGGGTCTCACTCAGTTGCCTAGGCTCGCCTTAAACTTGTATTCTCCTGCCTCAACCTGCTGAATAGCTGGCACTATGGGCATGTGCCAACCTGCCCATCTTTTGGTGTTTATTTCTTATATTTAACTTTTCTGTCTGTATGACATTGTGGTGTGTATGATGTGAGGCTGTAAACAGATTCTCAGCTAAACGACTAAACAGTTTGCAGAACGGTCCCTTTTTCCACATTTTCATCAACAGGGGCCGAGACCAGGCTGGCTCCTCTGGGCTGCTGTCCTGGAGGCCCCTTCTTGTTCCAGCAGCCCAGAGCCCAGCATGATGAGCAGGTGCTGGAATTAGACGGTCTGCGCTCTCCCTTCCATCTCGACCACTCACCCAGGTGACCTTGGGTAAGTGCTTTCCTAAGCTTCATTTCTGAGCCTTATTAACCCCACCTGTGAAATGGGCAGAGGGTAGCACATTGCCTCCTTCACAGAGTGCTGTGGGCCTGAACACAAGGCAGGCAGTGTGCAGCCGCAAGTCTGGTACACACAGGTTGTGGCTGTCGTCATAGGTCACAGGCAGTGGGGGCACATTCAGCAGCTGCCACTCTGGGTGGCTGGCATGAGGAATGTGTGGCAGAAACAGCAAAAGTAGAAAGAGGAACTGCCCCAGGACGGAGCATGCGCTCTGGGCAGTGTGTGGGGGGCAGTTCTCCTGAGGAAGTGAAGCAGGGGACTGGAGCTCTCACCCGTGGAGGCTTCTCCTGCTGCCCCTGCTCCATGGGGGGTGGGGGGGTGGGTGTGCTGGGGCTCTGAGCGCTGGGAACAGGGCCTTCTCCATGGGGACACCCTTGGAGACTACTTCAGTGCCTGCGCTCAGGGGGTGCACAGGAAGCTCTTCCAGTTTCAGTCGGACCGGAGCTGTGATGGGAATAATGTTGGCTGATGGGACCCCAAAGACGCGTTGGAGAGGTCCAGGGGTTGACTGACTGCAGATCTCACTGCAAGTGTCTGGAGCCTGGGGAGAGGCGGGTTGCTGACCCAGACTTGCCCTGGGCCTCAGTCTCCCCCTTTGTGAAATTGGGGCGGGGGAGCCCGGCTGAGCAGATCACTGGGGGTCCCACAAGTGCGGCGCCGCGGGAGGGGCCGCCGTGGAAGCGCGCAGCCCGGCGCCCCCCGGAGCCTGCGTGGCTGCGGCGCGCAGTGGGCGGCGCGGCTCCGCGGCGGGGAGGGGAGGGGTTGGGAGGGCGCGCGCAGGCGGCGGCGGCGGCGGCGGCGGAACCCGGCTGAGCAGAGTCGCCAACTCGTGTGGGACCCGCCGCTGGGCCGGCGCCCGCTGTTCGCGCCCGGTGCTCCCGCCGCAGCCGATCCCGCCGCCCGCCGGTGAGTGGCCGGGGCCGGGGCCGCGCGAGTCTGGGAAGGGGGCGCGAGGCCGTCTCCCCGCGGCCTGGCCGGGTGTGGGCGCGTGGGCGCGCACCCAGGCGCCGCGGGGCCGCGCGGGAGCGAGCAAGGCTGGGGTTCGGGTGGAAACAGGGCGCGTTCGGCGGCGCGGCGGCGTGCGTGGGCGCGTGTCCATCTGTCCCGGGTGTGTGTTGTGCTGCACGCGCGCGCGCGCACCTCGGGGATCTGCTGGTGTATCCCCGGGAAACGGTTCTGGCCCCTGTTTATCCCTGCGTCGCGTGTTTACAGTGGGCCAGGGGGTATGCGCTCTGAGCCTGACCGAGCGTGGATCTCTGGGAGTCTGTGTGCCCACATGTCTGAATGTTCACAAGGGATCGTGTGCACATGTGTGAGTCAGCGAGTGCAAAAGTGTGCATATGTGTTTACGAGGGTATCATTTGTATGCGGGAATGTGAGAGTGTGTTTACTCTCCAGGCTGAGCCCCCCTCCCCCACAAACACACTTTTCGCCCACCAGGCCAAATGGCTGTGATGTGCCTTGCTTCCTGCCTTGATGCTAGGGAACCCGTGGAGATCAGCGGGCCCGGTGAGGGCGCGGGGAGGGTGCACGTCCTGATTTGGTGACTCCCAGATGAGCTTGGTAGGGGTGCAAGCCATGGAGCCAGGCCTTGGCGGGACCCTCCATGGCCACACAGGCTGAGGGACACAGGGCTGGGGTGGACACCTCATGGGACACCAGAGGACTTCTGTTCACGTTTCCTAAACGCCCTGTTTCCCTGGCTTTGTTTTGGCTCAGCAGGTCTCCAGCCAGGTCAAATTCTGACCTGGTTCCCAGGTGTGGGGGAGTGTCTGGCCTTAGGGAATATGGAGCCCTGAGACACTTGTTTGTGTCTGGGGGCTTCTCTCTGCCAGTTCTGCTAAGTACTTAATATTGATCTGATTAATTTGTACAGTGTCTGGGCTCCAAATATGAGCCCCAAAGATGGTAACAAATTGGTCAAAGCAAGCTTGGGACACGTTTCCCAAGAGCTGACCTTACAGTTTTTCTGACAAGTTTTTCTGTGTCCACTTTATAAATGTTGACAGTCTTTGTCAAAAGTCTCAACTGTTTTAAGACAAACTTTAGAAACTCAAGAGCTCCCTCACTCCCTTACATGTTCAAGTCAGCTTGCCTTTCTGAGGGAAAATGTCGTCGTTGCAGGAGTTTCTTGTGCATGCCCGGGAACCTTCTAGGCGCGTTTAAAAACTGCGTCGCTAATGGAAGAAGAATTTCATTGAAAGGGGCACAGAGCCTGTTTGGAGGTGCCTCCTCCCAGCAGGAGGACTTAAGCTTGAACTTTGGATGCCGCCTTCCAGCAAACAAAACCTGGAAGGAAATATTCTTTTTCTTTTTTGTCCCCCAAAATGAAAAAAAAACCCACCTTCTGGGTTTGCTGGAAATGCTGCCTCCCCCTCCCCCATCAAGGCCCAGGGCTCCCTGGATCCCCCACCCCCAAATAAAATATGCCTGTGGGGAGCCGGGAATGAGTCACTCCCTGGCAGAGAGCCCCACAGCAAACATTTGGGAAGGTTCTTGCCTAACTTCCCAGAAGAAAAGGCCCGGGATTTAAAACGGTCCCTGTGGTTTGTCAGCCTCTGCTGTCCGTCTGCTTTGGAAATGACTAAAAAGTAGTTTCTAGCTCCACAAAATCAGGTCTCGGACTTAGGCAGTGGCCAGGTCGGTCTGAAGTTAGAACTGTTTGGGTTTCCAGAAATGGAGCGCCTGGCTCTGTGGGGGATGGGAGTGGGGGTTTTGGGTGGGACTGAGCAGGGGAGGAGGGGTGGAGACGAATTTATGGGGCGCCTCATGTGTGCTGGGAACTGTTCTGGGGGTCTCACTCCTCCCTGGCATGGAGAGGTCAAGCCTGGGCCCTGGCAGAGTTGAGAGGGGGTGGTGGCCAGACTCTTGGTCACTGGTGTGACTTTCCAACCCTTCCCATTTCCTTTACACCCAGGATGTGACATTTGAGTTCTGAGGTGCACAGTCTGGGTGCTGAAGATTTTCATGCACATTCATTCAATTAATTCTCACTGAGAGATAGGGAGGATTCCCTCTGTTTTACAGATGAGAAAACAGCCTCACAGAGTGTGCTACAACAAATGGGTCCCCATTTATTAAGGGTATGCCTTGTGCCGGGCACGGTGCTCAATGCTTGAAGTGTTTTATTTCACTCCATCCGCTCACCAACACGATGAATGTAATGATGCCCAGTTTACAGATTAGGAAACTGGGTACAGAGCAATTCCATCAGGTGTCAAAGGTCACGTGCTACTCAGTGGCCTCTGGATTTGAACTCGGGTTTCTCTAAGCAGAGCCCATAGGCTGCCCAATGAACTTGGAAGCTTGCCAGGTTAAGTCATTTGGGGAGGGTCATAAACTGGCAAATGGCAAAGTCAAGATTTGAACCCACTTCTTCAACTCCAGGATTAAAGTTCTTAATGTGAAACACGTCTGGCTGGCTTGTACTCTTCTCCGATGCACTGCAAAGTCAGGTTCCTTCAGGCCCCCGGGCTCCAGCCTTCTGGCTTGGTCTTCCTGAGGCACTGCAGGCTTCTCTTCCTGCTCTTCCACCTCTGGTACAAATGGCCAGTGTCCAGGACCAGAGCTACCAGAGAGAAGGGGCTGCCGTTTACATATTTTCTTTCCTTTCCAAGTGCCATGGATCGGTTTCATAAGGGAAGTGTCAAAACAATTGTCAAAAAGAGAGTAATATTTCCTTCCTCTTCTTGCATTGGACCAAACATGGGAGGTGGAGGGTGGAGGGCCCTGGTGAATGACCCAAGATTAGACACAGGTTGCCACCTCCGGGCTTGTGTGGGATGAAGCCGGACGCTGCCTCAGGAAGAGCTCAGTGTTCCAGCCCTGGGGATGGCAGAGGCCCTGCCCTGGGCCGCACTCTGTCCACAGTATCTGACGACAAAATCGGGTCTAAAGGCTTCTTGTCACTTGTCATTTCAGTCCTGGGCCTGTCTGTTTCCTCATTCATTCTCATTTCCATCTCGGTTTCTGATGCCTTGTACCTGAGACGATGCATCGAATAGGAGGACCTGCATGGCTTGAGCTGTGCTGTGCCCCTACCCAGTGCCCTTTGGTGTCAAAGGGGAAAGGTTTTTCTCTTCTTTTCTCCCAAGTCTTCTCTGCAGATTGAAGAACATTTGCAAATTGCTTCCAGATTCGTTAATTTAAGGTGTGAAATAATAGATCTTGTGCAAAGGCTCAGCCGTATTTCTGGCATTGATGGATTTCTCTCCCGTCTGGCCTGTGATTTGGGGAGGTAAAAATAGTCCTTGTTGCTACATTTTTTTCTTTTTTTCTTTTTGCTGACGTCATTGTTGTCATTGTTAGGAAGTGAAGCTCATGGGCCGTGGAAGTTTCACAAGCCAACCCTCGGGAACTTGGAGCTCTGGGCTGCTGCGATGTGAGGGGTGGTCCTATCTGCAGAGGGCTTTGAAGCAAGCAAGCAAGGGACACCAGGTGTGCTGACTGTGACAGGCCTTGGTGGCACTTTGGCATTTGGCCGTCTTCTCATTTCTGACTCCTGAGTAATGGCAAGGTAACTTTGGGGGAAAATATTAGTTGAAAAAGGAAAAAAAAAAACAACCAGGTCAGCAGGGTCACCCAGTTCTCTCTGTGGCGGGTGACGTACACATAGTTGGTCCTTTGGCCAAACCTGCATTAAACCAGTGGCCTCCTCCAGCTCCACGTCCAGATGGAGACGGCGCTGGGGCTCGTCAGTCAGTGGTGTCATTTCCTGTGATGCTGGCGCTGGGAACTGGAGTTCAGAGTGTGATCTTGAATTTTTTTTTTTTTGGTACCAGGGATCTAACTCAGGTCCTTGTGCTTGCAAAGGACTAAGCAAAATCCCCGGTCCTTGAATTTTGATGTTGTTCCTCTTAGCGGGACTGGCCTGTGTGAAAACAGACCCACAACACAGGCTGCACTGTCGTCTCCAATTCTGGCTTTTTCCATAGATTTCTTGTGTGGTTTGGTGGCACAGGCACTGGACTTATGTCCAGGCTTCTTGGCTTGCACTCAGCAGGGTCGCAGCCCAGGCCTCTGTCTGGAGCTGGGCACAGGGCGGGGGCCATCGGAAGCGGAGGTGGGGCTGCCAGGGTCTGAAATGCATCCATTCCAATGGCCCGATTCACATGGAGCTGTTCTTTCTCTTAGACATCTGCGTGATGCTGACCTCATAGAAGAGAAAAAAGGGGCTTTGTGTAGGAATTCCATAGAGTGTGAAGGAATTCTGATGGGGTGGGGAGGGAAGCAGCCATGGGAAGCCTGCTGCCTGCCTTTTCCCCAAACTCTTTAACCCTCGCACTTCAAAATCAGCCTGGCCCTGGTGGACAGAGGCCCGTTTAAGGAACCCCCACCTTGTCCCAGCTTGAATCAGGCTGCTGGGGTTCATCCCTCAGACCCTCAGAGGCGCCCTCACTGCAGGTAGGCGGCGGAGTTGGAATTTGTTCACGGCGCCTTTTACCAGCACCTGCCTGCTCTGTTCCTTGTGCTCAGATCCTTTGAAACTGGCATTTCTGGGAAGAGGCCTGCAAAGGAAGGCAATTACTTTACCAGTGACCTTCAGTTCTGATCAGTCCAAGCTTCAAGGAGGAATTTGGTGGGTGCACAATCCAGAGTCACTGTGCCAGAGAGAGGGGGGTGGTGTATGCCTTTGATCCCAGCACTGGAGAGGCTGAGGCAGGAGGATCCCTGTGAGTTCAAGGCCAGCCTGGACTACATAATGAGACCCTGTCTCAACAAAACAAAACTAAACAAAACAACCGCAACAACAAAAAGACCATGTATTGTAGACTTTCGGACTTGCCATCTATCCTAGTTGCCCATTTTATAGAAGGAAAACTGAGGCCCCCAAGGCCAGGAGGCAGTCATATCACATCAGGAACTTGACCTTCAGCACCAAATGGAGTGAGGATTGAGTTCCACCCAGGCCTGCCACTCATGAGCAGGTCAGTCACTGTGCTCAGTCTCAGTTTCCCCATCTAGAAAATGGACACTTTTATGACCTCATAGAGTGGGGGGAAGGACTAAGTGAAGTGCTCAGCGCCTCCTGAGTATTGAAGGGTCGTTCCCTGAAATGGTGTAGAGAGGATTTCATTACTAAAGCCCTGCCCAGGATTGCACAGCCAGGAGGGTCAACTCCTTGCCAGGAACCCTTCTGGTGCCTCTGAGGAGGTCCCGACGGGTCTTGAGGGGTGACAGGAACCCCTCCAGCTGCCTCTGACAGACTTTCTCTGATGATTACCTCAAAGTACGGGAAAGAGACAGTGGCCATGTGGAAAGGAGCAGGGACTAAGTGCCAGGGGGCCTTGTGGTGTCTCAGGAAAATGTTTCAAATCGATATTTGCCCCCCACCAGGGGAGGACAGCGAACCCCCCAAGTTTTGGCGAGGACCAGAAGGTCTGTGGAGGCCCGGAGAGCTGTGCGGCTTGGTGTGTTATGAAGCCGGCAGATGTTTTGTTAATTATTTGCACAGTGGCCCCTGCTTGAGAGAAGTGGCCGTCGCAGAGCCAGGCAGGCCATGGGGCAGTGCGACCTTGTCCCTCCTGTCCCACCAGAGTCCTCAGAGGCTCCGTACCTGAGGCCTGAGTGAGTCCGTTGTGTTTGGGGCTTAACTGTTTGGGGTTCCTGCAGGCCAGCACTCCCTGAGAGAGAAAGGAGCTCCTTGTCCCCCAGACATGGCCGCTCCTGCTGAGGTGACTTCTGTGGACTCCAGCTCTTCCCTCCTGAGGCCCAGTGGCTTGTGTGGTGAGGAGAGGGCAGCAGGCTGTGGACACCTCCCCACCTCATGTGAGGGTCACACGTGGGCTCAGACTCCACCCCTTGCCTGGAAAATGGGCTGGTGACATCCTAACCCTCCATTCTTAGGGACCACTTGGGGTGATTTGGCTTAGAAACCTAACCTTGGGAATAGAATTCTGGTTTTGGTGGTTTTTTGTTTTGGGGGATTTTTGTTTGATTTTTGAGACAGGGTCTCGCTATGTAGTTCGGGCTGCCCTTAAACTCACTATGTAGTCCAGGCTGTCCTCGAACTCACAGCAGTCCTCCTGCTTCAGCCTCTCAAGTGCTAGGATTACAGGTATGTGCTACCATGCCTGCCTAGAAATAGAATTCTGAAAAGTAAGGGGCCTGGAAGCAGAGCCTCCCTTGAAAGGCCGCTGAGGATAAGGGGTGTAAGCTCTGGGGAGGGGGACAGAAAGCCACCCTGCCCTCTGGTCACCTGTTTACATAAGGAGGTTTCGTCCAGGAGTCATTGTAAGAGAAGGTGCTTATGGGAAATCTCCAGAATAGAGAAGCCCGTCAAGACAGAGGTGGATCGGTGGTGACCAGGGCTGGGAGGATGAGGAGCAAGGAGGTAGGGTTCGGGCTTCCTTTCAGGGTCATGAAAATATTTGGAACTAGATAAGGTGATGGGTGCATAGCTTTGTGAATGAACCAATTGTTAATTTGGGCCTGGGGGTGTTGCTTCATGGTAGAGCACTCGCTTAGCCTGTGCAAGGCCCTGGATCCAATCCCTAGCAGCACCAAAAAAAAAATTAATTTTATGTTATTTGGGGAAAAAAAGAACCAGGATTCTGGTGGTTAATACAAAAAGGAGAGCATGAAAGTCTCCCGTTTTCCAGATGGCGACACTGAGGAAGAGAGAGAAACCAAGACCAGCCTGAGGGCTCATCCACACCTGTGGCTGCTCCGAGGCTTCAGTCTCATCACTCTCCCAGCTTCAGGCCAAGGTGTCCTGGCCTCTGGGCCTGGGCTGTGGGTGAAACAGTGCCATCGTCGGTGGGCTGAGTAGACTCTATTGTGGTAACCAGGGCTGCCTGTGTGCGGTGTGTGGGACATCCATTCACTCAACGAATACCTCGGAGCTGGGCATGGTGGCACACACCTGTCATCCCAGCACTCTGGGAGGCTGAGGCGGAGGGCGGCAAGTTTGAGTCCAGCCTGGGCAACTTAGCAACTTACTAAGACCCAGCTGACACAAAGGTCCTCTGATGGCCCTGCCCCTGGGCTTCTCAACAAAGGAAAGCCACAGCAGGGGGATGGTGCCGAACGGCCTGTGACCACATCTGTATCCTCAGCGCCCAGCACTGTGCCTGGCACATAGTAGGAAGCCAGTTAATTATCTGAAACTGTTTGAGCAGTGGCTTGATGATAATGACACTCAAAAGTTTCAGATTTTGGAGCATTTGAGATTTTCAGATTTTCAAAGTCAGTGCAAATATTCCAAACTCCGAGTGGCTCTGAAATCCAAAACACTTTTGGTCCTAAGCATTTCAGGTAAGGGATCCTCACCTGTGGGAAGAACGTAACCCTGGAAGCACCTGCCCCATGGCTTTGGGGGCTCCCTCCTGTTTCCGTTCTCTGCAGAGGTGGCTCTTAGTGTCTGTGTGTGAGGGTTCTGATGATTGGAATGGTTGGTGCCATGTCTTAGAGCTGCATGTTTTTAAGGTGCCAGGGATTGAACCCAGGGCCTCATGCACACTAAGCATGTGCTCTACCACTGAGCTACACACCAAGCTCGAAAGCTGCATTTCCTGTCCAGCATGCCGTGTGGTTTACTGGGCCTATCTTTTGCCTGGGGAAGGGGAGGGTTGCTGTTTGGCAAATGAGCAGGATCTGGAATTCTTCCCCAACCCAGACACAGGAAAACCAGCATTGTGAGAGGTAGTGACACCCTTGCTGATGTGACGTTGGTGGGCCACCAGGGTGGGAGCCCAGATGGCAGGACCCCTGGGCACCACATGGCAGCAGACAGGGCACAGAGGAGGGGAGCCCATCCCCGGGGGCCTGGCCGGTCCAGCAGAGTCTGGCTGGATTCGGTTACAGAGGACCCCAGTGTGCACTGACTCAGTGCGTGTGCATTTCCTTTGTTCGTCTCCTCCAGGAATTTTAGTGCCCTTTTGTGTTTGTTTGAAATGCCAGCCTCCTCAGCGAGCCTAGCAGGAAGTGAGGACGGTCTCATTTTTGTCTCTGCAGAGGCTGGGGACAGGGGTGGGGACTGCATGCTCTTGGAGCCAGCCCAGGGGTGACAGCATGGCATTTGTGACAGTTCTGTGGTTTTCTCTAAGGGGTGATGGGCAGTGGGTGCTGTGCCTCCCAGGGGCCGTGCCTGCACTGGGATCACCAACCTGAATAAGACTGATGGCCAGGTTCGAAGTGCTGCTCAGCAAGGGGCCGCTAAGCACCTGTGCAGGCCCAGACCAGAGCAGGCTGCTGGGGTAAACAGGCATCTGACGCGGTCCTGCTCCACCTTCCTGGGGAAGCGTGCAGAGGAGATTCTACACTGCAAGCCAGCTGCTTCCCCGTGGGCATACTTTTGTGGTATCTGCAGGCATTGATCATTTACAGGTTAGGCACCAGCTAACCCCACTTTCCCAATTCCCCCCAGGGCAGCGATCTGTAAAAGTATTTTAGTGGCAATTGGAAACAGGAGAGTTGGAAGATGCCTTTGGGTCGCTGGTGTGCGAAAAGTTCCTGGATGCTTGAACGGCTTACAGGGCAGCAGCCTTGAAATTGCACACTGCTGAAAATTCCGGGACATATGGTCACTCTGATGTGCTAATGTTAGCAATCAAGATATTTAATTATGCAGAAAAACTCATTTCCCTACCCACTACAGGTTACAGAGAGCCTGTATTTCTCAGGAGGAGGGTCTTGCACAGCTTAATTCGGACAAGCAGATAGAGAGTCATTATCCCTCATTAGTTTATGAGCTAATTAAGTTTTTTATCTGGTCACAATTTCATCTGGCAGTCCCTTTCAGTTGCTGCCCATCTAGCTGTGTTCTCCAGGCCTCACTGTGTGCCTGGCCTGGTACAGGGAACTAAACGGAAATACGACCGAATCCCTGCCGTGTGCCAGCCTCTTGGGTAGTGCCACAGGCTCACGGGGAATCCTTTTATTTCCTGGGCAACATTTACTGAACACCTACTATGTGCAGATCTAGGGGCCCAAGGAGACACCAATAAAAATGACCCCAGTTGTAGTGGTTTTCATGGGTTCTTTCAGTCTTGGCCTCTGCTTGCTGTGACAAACCCCCCAGGCCACGTGATGACGTCCCCAGAATGAACCAGAAACCATCCAGATGCCCTAGGAAGCGACGTGAGAACAAGGCATCTCCTTCACACATCGCATCTCAGTTCAGCGCCTCGCCACCACCCAGCATTATGAGACAGAATGTGAGATCTCGTGGTTGGCTAAATACATAAATATTTTATGTCTTGATATTCTGAAAATGAAGCCCAAATGCACAGAACTGCAGCACATCAGTGCTATAGATCATATGTTATAATAATCTGATGACATGTTGTTTAAATATTTATGGGCTGATGCGACCTGACAATGGGGGAGAGGGTTGTCTGGGAGCAGAGTCACGGCAGATGCTAGATAGGAGGGAGCAGATTCTCTCCATCCTGAGAGGCATCGTGCGATGCCAGGGTTTCTCGTGTGATGTTTTGGGGTATCAGGGCACTCGCAGTAGCTGGCTTTTGTTGAGCACTTGCCACATCCCTCACTAACATCATTTCATTTAATCATCACAGCAACCCCGAGAAGATGGGACTGTTAGTAATGCCGTGTGGCAGGGGGGAAACAGGCCCAAGGCAGATCCCCCATCTGCCCAGACCCCACAGCTAATGAGTGGCCCGGGATCTGGCCCAGGGTAACCCTACTCTGCTCTGTGTGTGATGGGTCACATCAGAAAGGTCCTGTGCTCCTGCCTGGGGCACCACTCGCTCAGTACTAACTGAGCTGTCTAAATCCCAGGGAAGGAGGGCCATGTCTATAAAATGTCAGGCAGGAGTAGAATCCACCAGGAATGGTATCTAACCCAGGAGGGGCTGGCCCCTCGATGGCGTGGTGAGCAGCCTGGCACGCCACCATGGTCCAGTGGCCGGCACGAGAAATGCTGGTTCCACCCTTCCTTCCGAAGTCATGGAGTGACTTCACTGCATACTGTCCCCCTGGAAGTATCCTGGGTCCCCAGCCTCAGCCTTACCCTTTCCCTGCAGATCCCTGGCAGGAGTTGAGGGAGAGCCCAGTCAGTGAAGTTGAGGCGTCCTCCTGAAACAGGAGGGCTCCTGTGTCTCCCAGAGTTGACTCCAGAATCCCTCCCTTCAGCAAGCCACCTGAGGGTGCCACCCAGGGGGGCCATTTCTTGATGCCACCTGTTGGATGCACCAAGTGCCGTGTCCCTAAGTTGACTTCGTCTATCCTACCTGTTTCACTGGACTCATAGTCCTGGGAGCAGCTCCAGAGCAGAGGGTCAGGAGGACACTTGTCACATCCCCAGCACCTGACACAGGGCCCGGCACGTAGACAGCAACAAAGGCCGACATGGAAATTCAATGAACAAGGCCCCTGGTGGACCTAGGAGTCTGAGCAGCCTCTCAGTCAGTGACAGTCACAGACTGGTGGTGTCTTTCACTTGTGCAGGGGTGTCCCCAAAGGCCGTGGAGCCAGACAAGGTATGTCAGGGGGGTCACATAAGTGGAAGAAGGCAAGACCAACCTATGCCATTGGTGGGGCCCAGTGCCAACGGGACTGTCAGTCTCCTTGTTCCAAAAGCAGGAGGGAACACGTAACAAGTTTCCTCCTTTCCTTTGCAATCTCTCTTTCCACCTGTCCTGTATGTTTGTTAGTGTCCTGCTCCCTTGGGCACAGGGACATTCAGGGCAAGTACAGCTGCTTTCGAGTGCCTGGGGCCTCACTCCGGGACCCTGTGAGAGCATGTGCCCCACCCTGACCCACCCAGGCCCTGGGGAGGAGAGAAGGGTGCAGCAGAGGGCTGAGGCTCTGAACTCCAACACATGTTCCGTGGTTCCACATCCAGAGCTCATATCAGGAATGTCAGGACGGTGGACACCGTGTGACTCCCCACATTCAACCTCCCTTCAGAGGGCAGGTCGGGATGACTTGTATATGTTGCTGGCCTGTCATCGCACACCATATCCAGCAGATTACGGTTCCCATGTCAGTTCCATACAGGGACTGGGGCCCGCTCTTGCTGGAAGGGAGAGCTGTGCTCTGAGGCACCATCTGTAGACTGCTGTCCCAGGTGACTCTGTCAGTAGCCTCCTCGTCTGGGCCTCTCATGCCAAAGACATCCTGGCCTATCACATTGTGAGCGGTTATCACTGCCTTGAGAAACCCATCCCCTTGGACTTCCTATAGTGCATTGACAAGGGTCGGAGATCAAATGACAAGATTGCTGACCTGCTGGCTCAGGGAAGTGCCAAGCAGGTGGTGCTCAGAGATCAGAGAGAATGGGAAACTTGGATTTCCCCAGCTGCCCCACACTGTTTCCAGCCCTGAAATCGGGGCTGGGCAACCACAGAGAGCCTCGGGGGAGAAAGCTTACTCAGTACCTACTATGCACCGTGGAATTGGCCAGGTGCTTTCTGTTTCCCTGCTTCATTGTCATGACAACTTTGGGCTGACTCCATTTTTCAGAAGAGGATAACTGAGGTTCCTAAAAGGACACCACTCCCCAAATCCCTAAGCCACACGTTTTGGAAACATTTAAACCCAGGCCCAGCCGACCCCAAAGCCAGTGCTCTTTGGGCAGCCAGGTGCATCTAGGTGCTGCAGTCCTTGCCTGGCTGGATGTCCTGCTCCAAGGGGGTGCTGAGTGGGACAGAGTCCGGGCCTTGGGGCTGTGACCCCAGCTTTTCTCCTGTGAGACCCAGCTAGCTTTGCAGCCCTTCTCACCCCCAGAGAGGGAGGGGGCAGGTCAGACCAGCTGGATGCAGATCAACCTCTGCCTTTGACCAGCAAGTCCCCTGGGCTTGTCAACACCTGTGCGGGCCTTGGTTTTCTCGTTTGTGAAGTGAGGGGTCACACTGGCCCCTTGGGGAATTTTTATGATGCAGTGGGTAAGCAAGCATGGGACTGAGTTGTATGCCAGGTGTGGAGCTGGCGTTCAGCAGTCGGTGACTGTTATTACACTGATAATCAGTGACGGTATGTGGGGGTGAAGATTGGAGGTTGATGGCCCCCGTGACACTCAGGAGCACCATCCCAGCCTGGGACGGTGGGAGGTCACAGCTCAGGGCTACTCTTCTTGGAGTTCACCCCCGCCCCCCAGTTTAGTCATTCATTTATCTGAACGAGCCACTCACTGCTGGAAGACACAGTAAGGAGGCACAGGGGCAAAGTTCCTGCCCCCATGGAGCTGGCGCTCTGGCTCATAAACAAGGGATTCAGGGTTACTGACCAGAGGGCACTGGGGATGCGTCCCGGGGAAAGCTGTGCCTGTTTGGGTGCCAATGTGGAACAGCAGTGTGGGGCAGTGTGGTGTCCCCAGCTGCCCTTGGAATGGAGCCCCTCTGTCTCTCTCCTGGGGACAATGCATCCTGCCTGTCTTTAAGGTCCCAGCGCTCCCAGGAGCCCTAGGAGGCTTTGCTTCTCAGGGTGTCTGTGAGAAAATGGTTTTCCCAGTTGGGATGTGGGGGGTCCCCTACACTCTCCCAAGGGTCACCATTGCCCACTGTGTGCTGGCCCCAGAGGCTGTCCTGGGCCGGGCTGACTGTGTACAATCACACTGAGACCTCCTGGAGCCTGTTTGAGGTAGGTCCTATCGGTTCTGCTTTGTAAAGTAGGAAAGGGTGGCTGAGCAAGGTTGGGTCAGTTGTTCAACAGTGTATAATAGGTCCACATCCAAGCCAAGATTTGAACCCAGGCCTTCAGTCCCAAGAGTGCAGTCCCTGAACCACTGAGGTCTGGTGTGAATGGATGTCTTTGTTACTCTGGGCAGCAGAAAGGCACAGGTTTTGCCCAGAGGAGTGGTTGTTCATCGGCAGGGTGCTGGGTTCTGGGAGGAACAGCCAGCCATGGGTGTTCCATTGGCTGGCGCTATGTTTACTTGTTGCTTGCAGGCCGTTGGGTGGGTAGGGTTAGGCTCATATCAGAATGAGAAGCTGGGACCCAGAGAGGTTCCACAGATTGCTGGGTCACACAGCCCCGGGGGGCCCAACTCCACATTACTGCCTCTGTCTCTCACACTCACAGCTGCCTCCAAATTCAGCTCCCACCTTCAATTTGCATTTGGACAGACCGAGGCCAGAGGAATAGGTCAGCAGCTTTACCCCAGACAGTGAGTGGAGGGAGTGGAAATGGACACCCCCACAGTGAAAACACCTTGAAATTTTCAGGACAGGAGGAGGCTGAAGGCCGTGTGTCTGTGACGTCCGGAGAGGGGGCCCATGTCCAGCCTCTCCTGGGGCTACCGGGCAACAGGGTTTATGGCAGGGGATAGACAAGAATTTTAAAAGAACGTGTCCCTGAGCTGTCCCATCCCTCGGTTGCAAACAGTCCTTAAACAGCAAGGGACAGCCGCGCTCTGTGTTCACAAAATGGTGAGCTGGCATTTAGGCCCATTTATTTAAAGTGGGAGTTGGGGAGGCTAAAGACCCCAGCTCTGAGCTGCTCGCTGCCTTGCTGCAGCAGGGGAGCGTAGTCTTCAGGGTTTTCTTCCCATTTACGGGTTTTTTGTTGTTGTTTATTTGTAAAACAAGGCTTCTGCTGGCAAAAGCAGGTTTTAGCGAGTGCGGTGGCTCTTTCAAGACCTAATAAGGCCCCAGAGGAGGGTGAGTTCCAGCAATACTCCCCCCTCCCCGGCCCCCCCCATTCTGTCTTGCTTCCTACACTTTGGGCACCGGGTACCATTCGTCTTGCTTCCCATTAATGGAATTACTGCCATCACTTCTGTGGGACAAGATGGGCCCTTTGGAACTGCCTCGGGGACAGAGGCGAGCTTGTTCGCCAGTTTTGCTTAGAGGGGGAGGGGCAGAAGCAAAAAAAGCAAGCCTGTGAGAGGAAACTCTTCCAGCTGGTTGGTTCCTTGGGTGTTAGAGACCTGAGCTGTGGAGGAAAGGGGCCCATCCAACCTGCTCCTGGCTTCTTGGTCACATCCCCCGTGAGCTTCTTGGTGACAGGGCCTGTGATGGCTCTGTGTACCTGGTCCTGCTGCCAAGGAAGGGAA